CACCAGTAATTAAAATGTTACTTTTTTGTAAGACTGACTCATCGCTAGAATTGAAATTAGGATCACGTGCAAGCCAGTTCCGCTTTACTGTGTGTGTGTTAAATTCATCATGGATTAGGCAAATGAATCTATTATAAATGCATTTTAATATAAATGTAGGCCTAACTATTTAAAACTGAATTATATTTTACAAGAAATACATTTGTATCAGTGATACGCTAATCTTTAAACCCTCGTCTAGTTAGGCCAATATGTTGCATTATGTAACGCTTGCCTTCCAAAACCCTAGCATCAGGATACGTAAAAGTCTCATTATCCTGGAGTTTACGTTGGTATTGTATTTTGTGTCTTTAGTAACTTGTTTTCCCCAGTGACAACGCAACTCACAATTCAGATCATAATTCAGTTTATAAATGCATAAATTCTAAAATCTGTGTTATTGCTTATATTAATGCAATGTATATTTAAGTAATATCTTTTCAGTCACGATCACAGCAATATAGGTTGTCTTGGAAGCTTAGTGCACAATTTGAATAAAAACGCAATATATTTGAAACGATTTCTTGAAAAATCAAAAGAAAAATAACGGAGATTTGTTTAATTGAATCATAGCTTATAACTAACGCATTTAATAACTTTAAATCCAATGTACTTATGCGTATTTGTTATATTTTGAAAAGTCTTATTGACAGGTATACATGAATAATTGAGATTATTTGCACTGAACTCACATGCACACGGAAATTTGACTGCATAGATCTTGAATTATGTTATTTGGAGGTATGACTACAGGACATGGCCTATTGTGGCGTTTCATACACTGGGAGGACGCATTGCATTACATGTTGCAAAGTATATATAACCAAGTTAGAATCAGATAAGTAATGCAGCTTTTAAAAAAGGAAACCTGCAATAAGGTTTGATTGAAATAAGTCACTCTGTTATATATAAATAATACATGTTTATGAAATGGGTAGGCTACCCAAACACCATACTGCATAATATAGCTCGTTTCGTTATTCACGCCCAAATCCATTTTTTCCGTTACGTTTTACGTATTTCGTGACGTGCGTTGTTTAGTGCGCAGACACCGTTGATCTTATTTACAAGAGCATAGGCCTATGTAAAAATCCGGTAGCTGAAGTGTTTTTTTCTGCTGAAAACAACACTATCTCGAAATCAAATATCACCCTTTAAAGATCTCCATTGGCCTTTAGGTAACATTGAAGAATAGCTGACCTAGCGTACTAGTCCCTAATGCATTGAGGCGGTCATCATCAGTTAGCGATCAAGAAATATATGTCGAGCGGCATAGGGATGGTGGCGTTATGGTTTTCATAATATAGGACTAATATGAGCGTTGTCGCTTAACTGTAAGACTAAGATTTTCCTAAATAATTGTGGCATGGTTTATATGCAGATGCTAAAAACCTTACAGATTGATATCGTGTATATTTGTCTGTCTATATATATGTAGGCCTATGTGTTTACAAACGACATTTGAATTGCAGTCAGAAACAAATATATAGCTGCTCGTTACTTTTGTAAGGGAACAATTCCTGTTAGAACATGACCACATTATGCAAAGACCAGCGTTTATAGTACGCACTGAACTATCAAAAACCGCCAACTCAAACCAGCTCACGTCCGTCTCGAACAAATTGCAAATCGTGGTTGTTAGATTACGCTACTCTTAATGGGTTGTAAATTACCATGTTGTGACATTAACGGAAATGATGGCCATTGTTTTGACTTTCATTTCGGACCTGGTGAAGACAGAACTGGAATATGACAGCCCGGTGTCATATCTTGCATTCCATAATTTTTGTGTAAAGCTACGAAACGAATTTGTAACAAGTATTTAGCTATTTCTCCATTAGTTAAAAACCAAATAGTTATAGGCCTATTGATCAACTAACCTGTCTACAATCCTGCATCAACTGTGAAACCTGAGACCTCAAGGTTGCATCAAATATATATGTTAATGTATCATATTACCATTATGCATATAAACGATTATTTAGGGGGTGAGGGAATTGGGGATATGTATATATTTTTTTAATTGAAATTCTTATTTGCTTAGTACAATGACCGGTTATGATCGTGCTTTAGACGTGTTGGTGATGACTGTGGTGGTCACATTTCGCTTTTTGTCCTTCTGGTCAGCAGTGTTCCCGGCGTCAGGAAAAGGCCGTTGTTGGCTTTCATCTATACCGAAAACGAGATGTCTCCAACATTGCACATTTTCTTAAGTTAACCCAAATATCCAAAAGGGTCGATCACACTGTACCCTTCCACAGCCCAGCTGGTGACAAACGCTCTCTTCCGGTTGCTGCATGTGCATGGAAAATAGACGAGAAGCTCCATCTTGTAATGCTTCATTTACGCGGGACAATCTTCTTCGCGGAACTGGTCTGCTTCAGGAGCAATCAGACACTCCACATTAATTACTTCGGCGCTTCCTCACAGAGCACCTACCCAGCGCTGTAGTTCCTGCCATTTTTCTGAACTACGCATGCACTCGTCATTCACACGGTATTTCAGTGTCCCGGAATATACTTAAGCTGATACAACCAATGGATGGATGGATGGATAGATAGATAATGGATTAAAATCGGCCATCCTGACTTAGCACAAAAGTCAACAAAACTTTTTCTTGACTCAGGATACATATAGGTCTTACACGCCAAATCTATATGAACATTTTGGGGAATGTTAATGTGTTACACATCAACTAAATACTACGGTCGTAACATAGGAGAACGACGGCCGAATTTTCTATCAGCGGCCTATACATACTATTAAGCACTAGGCTGAATAATTTAATAACCTCGGCGTAAAACATTAAGTTGAAGTTTTATTTTTATACAACCACGTCTCTAGCTGTTAAATCTACAGCGAGATCACAAAAAACAAGGAGAAATTCAATGCTCCTTTACCAGCAATGGTTTAGGGTGTAGAAAATGCGTGTGGGCGGCGGGTGCTGCCGCTGGAGCGAGGGGCCATGGGTCGCCACCCAGTCAAAACACACATCTGTGTGAATATTACAATGAGCCCTTACATTTAGCCAAGTGGCATTGCGCGCTGGAAAAGGTGAGTTCTGAATATACTATGTCAAAGACCATGTTACTAGCTTCTCATTCAAGTGCCTCCTATTACCGTTTTTAAAAAAAAAAAAAAAAAAAACTAAGCTCCGAGTCAGGACTGTAATAGTAGAATATTTAGAAAGTGCTCATATTGTAAATACGCAGGCAGATATGGATCACCTACATATAGTTAATGTTATTTAATCTTTCTAAAATATCACTCGTTTAGCCACGGAGGCCTATTTAATACTTTAATTCTGTAATTTGATAATGAGATTGGTAATAAAATCTAAACAATGTATTAATAATATGAAAGATAATAACTGTCTAAAACAAAGGCAACTATTTTGTCATCACCTAAAAATTACAATGAATACAGCAGGTTTGTTAAATTACCGTTCTTAATTTTAGTTTTTTATTCTTCAAGGTGGACGCCACATTTCATTCGATGTAATCTGGATCATGAACTGCACGACAATAATGGAAGTTACATTATCATTAGCGTTAATATACTCGACACATTTTTACGTTGGGAATTTTTAACTCCTTTGATTCTGATATTAAGCAATATAGATTTACAAAAAAAGTCAACAAGAACACGGAACCTCAAAACTTCTGCAAAATGACCAATGCTTGTGAGATCCTGTCCGTTTGTCTTCTTGAAGAGCCCTACGTTTTTCATTTGGCGGCGCTTCAGATCCTACCATTCCATTTTTTCTCCTCAAACATTATCTTAGACAACTCTAAATCGTCGTTCTGGATATAGCCATCTTTCATGCAAATTACGGAATTTCACCCTACAACACTAACTGCTACGCTGTTATTGCGTCGAATCTGGACAGGATATTTTAATACATGTAATGTGCCATTTTTTTTTATCCGATTTCTTTTGATTCACTATTGACTCTCCAATGGATATAGGGCCAGCGAGGTTTGCCCAAGGGAAGCCTTGAAACAGTCTCTCCTTATCTCCTTTCATCATTCCATTCTGGGCTGCCTTGAAACCACAGGGCCAGTAATTGCTTTCTTCAGACAGCCCAGTGCGGACTGGCCAGCAGCCAATCAGAGGCTTGTTTATGCTTTCTGATTGACAACGTGTTGGCAGCACGAAAACCAATCGCAACCTACAGAGACAATAAGTTTTTAACACCAATGGCTATATATTATATATACACTTAATTTTAATAATACAAATAAATTATTAATATTACCCATTAAAACAATGTTCATAACTTGCTAGTATTTCTCATTTTAAATGTTAAACCCAAGTTCGTATAACATTTGGTAGAATTATTACATATTGCTTATCTTTTGCAGTTTGCGATACTGAAAAAAGGAAAACCTAGTTTTATTAAAGCCCTCCAGGACCACAGCTGGCAGAATTTAATGTGTTGTACACTTCCGTTAAAATGGTATAGTGGTTGCCATGCTGACGTTCCGGTCCACTGGTTAGAAGAACATCAGGACACACTGGAAGTAATAGTTATTGAAGTATCACCGCTCTGTATCCGTTGTGGCTGTAATCTTGATTATTTTGTTTCAGTACTTTAAATAGTATGTCCAAAATTTAATATAGGTCTAAACATATGTTACTGACGACGAAAGACTAAAGTTAATTCTTATCGTACTGTTTAGCAAAAAGCAGATAAAAACAATAAAGTTCTAAATAATTCCTACAGAAAATGCAATTTGTTGCATTTCCCTTACGAATTACGCATGACAGCAGTTACGCTTCATAGATCAATGAGGGAACTTGAATTAGGCGCCCGCCGTTTTGTTTAGGTCTTCTAGTAGCTCTGCCATTGGTCGAGCGCATCCACCAATGGCAGAGTCCGTATGTCCCCGGGCTAAGTACACGAGCACATTAACATGCGGGTATCCGGCCAATGGGCGAGCGTGTTTACCCTCCCTAGGTTCGGAGGCACGAGCTGAACGAGGCGCTGAGAAAGCTGTTTGGAGGTTCGAATTTCGATTCACTAGACAAGGAGCCAGAAGTTCGGCGTAGCCTATCTAAACAGCTACCACGTCAGTAATGTAACCATTTCCACCAGCAACTTTTAGACTATTTTTTGTTCATGACCATTTCAATTATTTATTGTTATTCGAGGAATAACTTACCAGTAAGTAATCTGTTTTATTTTTCTTGCAAATATACGTTATACTAATTTTGTATTATTTTACTCGAGAGCCTGGTATTGATTATAAAATTGTAAAATTTAAAATCCTGTTCTAAGCTCAATAAATCTCACACAAAGCCGCTGTATTTTACACTATGAAATACTCATGGAATCGCTGGAATCCAATTTCCTCGTGCGCGTTGGTACCTTCATTTTTGTGCAAATGTATTTTGCTCCTCTTGCACAGTAGTATAATTTGTAACATGATTAAAATACGTTATTCGGATGATTTCGCACACAATTTTATCACGGAATAGATTGGATTAAAAATAACACTCTACAACGACGGCAGTTTTTTTTTGTAAAGATTTATTGGCTGAAGCAAGCAAGACGAAATCGATTTACAAATTAGAACACAGCGCGTTTTAATATAAAGGACGCTTCATTGTAGTTAATAGCCTCGTTTCGCTGTATCATTGTTTTCTTTAAAAATATAGCCTAGGCTATATTATAAATATCTTACTGTGAGAATTTATTGTAAAGTCAATGGATTACTTCTTCATATAAAGGATTTTTGGCTTTGAAACTGAATGTCGTTCGTCTTGCTTAGAGCAGTGTGTTTATAATCCTACCCCAGCCACGGCGTAGTCTCTTCGGTCGTTCTAGGTGCGGTGGTCGTTTCGCACTCGGCCTGATCAATTCAAAACAGTATCTCTAATAATCTCCCAGTATTTAAATCCAACCACACTTTTAACCGAAAAAATGCATTCGCATTGTGTATGTTGCAGCCTTAAATTCAGAATCGGACACATTATTCATAATTCAATCCAGACGTTGCTTTGTTTCGACAGACGCTAGTATTTCTATAGTCATATGAAGCCTAGGCTATCGACATACACAATGCTAGACGTTTTTTTCTGAATTAAACACAGTAGATAACATAGTTAGATATTTATAAAAATGTTATTAGTTCAATTTTAATATAGTACCTTCGATAATGGTCGCTTATTTTCACGCGTTTTTCCATTATGAAGGACTCTGAAGACTGATTAAGCAATGTGGAGACAATGACAGCTTGAGTAGTTACCAATGAAGTTAAATTACGAGTGCATTTTAAAATCATAGGCGTTTACTTCTACTTCTTACTTTTCCTACTTTACGCAGTTAACCGAGGTAGTGTAAGAACATATAAACATAAATGTAAATATCTTTATCTTATAAAGTAAGGAAGGCGATGCTTGCTTTATACCAAAATGATACGCTCGTGTGATTTTCATTATATAACTCAAACTGGGAACGTATTATCGAGTTGTCTGAAATACATTTTTTTTTTTTACATCATGGGCCTATTCAACCTAAGTACTATTTCATATGGAAGACACTAATCACGCACTTATTTAGTTTTAACTACGACGGTTCCTCTTTCATCCAAAGGAACATTTCAACTGTACTAAGATCTTAAGATTATTGCGATTAAATTATACGGTGGTGTATGACCTATGGATTGTAAATGGATTTACAATTAACTCCTAGATTCTTATGCTATATATTTCTATTAGTTGCTATATAGGCCTAATGTACTACCAAAGCTGACCTCTAAACACATACCTCATTTACAAATGAATCATTGTGTTCATTTATTGAGTACAACCTTCGGGATCTAGTCTGTTGTTTTGTACGCCCAGAATTCAGCATCGGAATAAAATGTCTTGTACACAATCGAAAACATAAACACACATTCGAATGTGCTTGCAGAAACATCTCTTCATCAACTAATATTTAGTTGTCAAAACGCAAAGACATAAATGTATGTTGGCATCTACAGTTCCGTTAAAGGTCATCTCTGTCCTCTAATGACAAAGGAATCTTACCTCCCGGAGACGAGCCTAATTAAAGAACACCCTGAATCTGAATTTAGATTGTCACCCTGGTAAATCCGTTTTATACTGTAAATCATTCATTCCAGTTTGCCAAAACTGGTTAATGAATAAGAACACCTCGAATGATGTGACTAGGGAACGTACGTTGTATTATAAATAACCACTCAACGACAGAGAAAATGCATCCATAAATGCATTGTAACTTATCTTGTATCTGAATTTCAATATAAAAGAAGTCGGGTGAAACGACCCGCTACATCATGAAAACCAATTCACTCTTATTAAAGTAAAAATGGTGTTTTTATTTAGAATAAAATACAACGCGGAATGTTGTAAAGCCGAAATGTATCAATAAAAAGGTGCGATTTGGTTTCCACTCCGGTCGATAGATGTTCGAAAGGCTCTCATCCTCTGAAAGCATAACCTTAAGACGTGCAGGCGGCTAGATTTTAGTATATGAAAGTATGCACGTTTAACGACGACGGTCGTCAAATATGTCCTTTAAAAATCTCAGTAGTTGCTGATGCTGACTTGTTTTGTTGCGGCGTTTACATTTAGCCTCAATAACGTCCACCACAAATGGTGAACGTTTGTCTCCGTGCAGTAAGACTTGTACAATAGTTACAGTTATCCGGACGCTTAACCAAACAATTGTTATAGATAACAGTACTGAAGTACACCGCGTCGTAGGTCATCTTAAAGCACAGTTTATTCACTGTATAGAATTCCTCATTAGATGTTTTGCATAATGTTTTCCAGCGCTGTTTGTTATATTCAGCAGCCGCTGTGTTTCTCTCTTGCAGGAAAGACAATGGTCGGAAGCTACTTTTAAGCTACAGGAGCCACCGATATGTTGACTGCAATACCTAGAAGAAGTCCCACAAAGGAATTATATTATTTGGGCTGCTTTCGATGTCCTGGGGATCCCCACTGGGTTTCGGATTAATCACATTTCAACAAAATGGAAGGCCGGGATTTCGGCCCACCACCCCACCTCCTGTCTGAGCGGGGTGCCTTGGTCCACCGCGCCGCTTCTAGGATTGCTTCTACCGGCCACGCGTCTGTACAACATCGCGGACACTTCCAGACAGGAAAATACTATTCGTCCCACCTCCCAATGGCACCACATTCAGGTTTGTTCGGCGTCACGTTTATCGTTTTAAGGGCACAAATTATATGCGATTTAATAGATTCAAGCTGAATTTCGCTTTTTTGAGTCGCTGGCGTTGTGCCTCAGTGGGTTTCTATGTGTTTTTTTAAGGGTGACCCCGGGGATTTATCCCCAAACAATCATTTATACAGAAAGGAAATTAGTGCGACGGCATGACAATTCTGAAAATTAGAAATTACAGAGGGCCCCTACTTTACGTAGTTTTTAGTAATTATCTTAATATTTACTTTTATGGAACAGTTTAATGTACCTCCAGGTGTTTTAAGTGTCGAATGACCCTGGAAAAACTGTCAGTTTTTATGAAGCGAATTCCTGAAATCAGAATCCACATGCACCATGCATATATTGCGTGTGTTATTTCTATAAGCAGCCAAGAAGCCTGCGATTTACCCTGAAATTCTTGTCGCTTGTCTACTTATTACGATGGTTCGCCGCTATCAGGATATTTGTAAAATGTTCTCATTAAGCTCCTAATATAAATGTTTTACTGTTAACCGGCATTATTCCTCGGCGTTTTTATTTTATGCTTCCTATGCTTTCGTTGCCTTTTGGTGATTATTGTAACCCGTGTGTACATTAGATAGTGGTGTTTGCTGTCGCACGCCGGTCGAAACGCTTGGTGTTTGGCGCTTGGTCCACGGCGGGGCTGCTAGGGTCAAGGCCCGGATCTGGTACATTCTAGGCGGCTGTGGTTCCGCCGTAAAGATCGCCTCGGTAGATGCTTAAGCATTGAGCCGCTAAGCAGGGAAACAGCTTTGTGTGTTGAGTCTTATTCTAATGTTAGTTTGCACGGAGACCAGTGTTAATTATGTCATCAGTGCAAACATATTTTTTTATTTTGTTGTATACTCAAATTATAACTATGTAACATTCTTATTTTGTTAGTTATACGACAGGTAGCCTATACGTGTGTGTGTGTGTGTGTGTGTTAAATATTATAGGACATGTATTTGTTAGCTTGTGTGGAGGGTATCCAAATATTCGAAATTCGAAAGAAATACACGACATTAAGAAATAAAAACATTAAACTATATAATGATTTGAATGTGAAATACAAAAGCATGTGTTGTGATCGCCGTTGTTTTGACGAACAGCACAATTTATCTGCGTGTCAAAGTAACTATTGACAAATTTGGACGATAAGTACGGAGTTTGAAATTTTATGAAAATCTGTGTGTGATTAAACAAAAATTATTTTATTACCAGCTGAACGGCACATTGAAATGCTTTGTGGCTCGTCTTCTGCTTGGTTACAATGTCATGAAATGTATTATTAATCTGTATTATGAAATCTATGGACTCTGACGTTGGTCAATTATGGTTAACAATATAACAGAATGATGAAAAACAGATTTGGTAAAAAAAATGCTCGTTCTAGTCAACTTGCTACTTACAAAATCACTACGAACAAATTTAGATAAATATTTTTAACGCTGATAATCGGCTTCGTGGCACCAGTTCACGTATGGCACCAATTGAAAAAATGTGTAGTTAAAAAAATAATAAAGAGTGCAGTAAAACGGGGAAACGTAATTGTTGTTGAATACGGCTGCTGTTGCTGTTGAAGGTGTGCCATCGCTTGGCTCCACAGAGCGATCCGCTCGCTTTTAATGGCCAAGGAGCTGTCAGTCTGCCATGTCTGGCTTCCCGGGACCTGAAATGAGAGAGCGGTACGCGTGGGTCGTGCCGCGGCCGCAGGGAGGGAGCATGTCAGATGACGGGGCCGCCGGAGAGGGACGCCGGCGGGAAGGATGGATCGGGTGGGTGCTGAGACTAAGGAGATCGTCGAGTCTTTTGCTTTCTTTACGCTTTGTAAAATAGAAAAAAACGACCCGACAAAAGTGGGAATAGAAGGCACTCAGCGTGCGTTTATTACTTTGTTGACCGTACGATTGCTATCTTGACAGGTTAATGGCTTAAACGACTGAATCTGTGTGATTTGTTTTTTCCCCCTTTTTCCCTAGGACTCAAAACTGCAGGCTTAGAGTCTCGTTTTGCTTCTAAGTGGCACAGATTGCCTGCAGGATTAGGTCAGTTTTAATGTGGCTGCTTTTCACAAGGGGTCCATCCCATTGTTTTGCTTCTGTTGTTCACCTTGGCCTACATTAGCAGAGCTCCAGCATGGGTCGCTTTTATCCGCTGCATTACATGCCGGGGGCCGGGAAGAGAGGGCTGGGGGCTGAGGTGCTCCGGTGTTGCGTGGGATGAGCCGGACTTGTTGCAAGGGTGTTGGCGCTGAGACACGGTATAAGGTGCTAGGGACACTGGGTACTAGGTATCATAGTTTCTGCAGAAAGTACCTAAAAGAGGCCAAGATGGGCTGATTTAGTGCCAGGTCAGTATATTACAATAAATCAGTAAAAACTAAATTTTTAAAATAAGTTTGTTGGAGGACAGTGTTGTTCTCTTGCCTGTAATTTGTGTGTGTGGGTGCAGAGGACACTTTAGACCTGAAGGTCTGGGAGTAGTGAGCTCCTTCGGGTTCCTTCCTTTGACTTTCTGAATCCTGGGAAGAACGAGGAGAAAAGTTCCAAAAGAGCTCTGAGAAGTTTAACCAGGTCACTGATAGCGTGAGGTCAGGAAATGTGGGGCTGGAGCACCTTTCGCAGCATTGTCCTGTAAGTAGGAACCCCATGTAGGTCTCCTGCTGCTTGGCGACCGTGGGGTGGGAAGACCTCTTCGCCACATCCTGGCATACGGCAGCACGCTTCGCACTCTGGCAGATGCCGGGTCGCTCCTGGGGCACAGGTGGTAGTGGGGAGGGGGGGATGCTCCGCCCCACCCTACTTTGCTTCGGGTTTCCTCCCAAACGTTGGGGCCACGTTTCCCCTCTGCCAAGTGGAACTGGGTCGTCCGAGGTTCTGCAGCGGAAACCGAATTTTAACGGCACATTTAGGTCATATGTCTTTTCCCTCGTGCTGTGCGCGGCATGTCAAAGCAGCCACAAGAAGGCCGCAATGTGCACGCGCACGTGAAACTGACACGTTTGTGGTGCCACACGGTCAGGATGACCTGCTGGTTTTTTTAGTTGAACGTGGGCGCTTTATCGTCTCTCCCCCCCCCCCCCCCCTCCAAAGCAGCCCTGACAGGTGAGGAAGCATCAGTTGGCTCTGAGCTCCTGCATCATAGTCATAGTTAGCTGAGCAGTTTGTGGTTAAGGACAAACTGGTTTGTTAATGATTTTAAATAGCAAGGGGGGGAGGGGGGCTTTGTAGATTTAGCCCCCGGACTGCATCCTCCTGAGTAAGTCGTGCTGTCACTGGCTGCTCAGTTTGGGTCGTGTCTCTTGGCTCCCCTGTGTTTCCCGGGTGATACTCTCCTCGTCTCTTCCAGCCCCTGTTCGTTTTGCAACCCCACATCGTGTCGCGTTCTTCGTTCTTTCTGTCCCCCGGCCTCCCCCCACCATGCTCGTCCCGGGAAGTGGGGCAGGGTCATGTGTACAGAGGTTTTCTGCAGGTATTACACCTTGACCCAGTCGTGTATTTTACTGAAGATTTTTTGGTGTAACGGCAGCAGGACCCCCCTGAGACAGACCTCAAACCCCACAGCCTCACACGTTTATCCATCCAACCATCCGCCCGTTCCTCCATCCATTCAAGCATCCACTGCAAGCCCCCCCACCTCCTTGCCGGAGGCATGTTCCTGAGCACCGTTTTCCCTGCCGCGTTTCCACCAACACCATAGGTGCTGGTGCCAGTGCTGGGCTGGTTCTTGCTTGGTGGCTTTTGAGAACCTGCCCGCATTTCCACTGGTTTCAAAAAAGAATGGAACAGAAATGTTACGTAAGCAGAAGTGAAAGTAATGCAAAGGTTAATCTGTATTTCATTTTTTGGATTTATTGTTTATTATTTTTTGGATTTATTTATTTTAAGTTTTTATAAGCTACTGAACCAGAAAATATTGTTTTCAGAGTATGATGCATTATCTCTCTATTGCCTATATCCACGTAAAGGCTCCCTTGTCTGGGTGTGTAAGTCGGTTTATTACCGTTGTCCTGTTAAGGATTGCGCAATAAAAGAGCTAAAAACTTAACTTTGCAGTGAGCCTCATGATCGCTTTGGCATAATATTTTATGTTTTTGACCTGTGATATGTTTGTAATTTATTATTAAATCCATCTTTTGTTTTCTACAGAATAAGAAATTTAATGTTGCATCATTTATGTGAATTATGCAAATGTTTTAGTGTAAGTTATTTTATGCAAAATTCTTATTTTCAGCAAATGCAGTCCATACCATTTTAAGGTTTTTTACGACATTTTGTCTCCTTAAAGGCTCCGTGTCTCGCTCGCTGTTTTACTGCTGTCCTTCTGAGAATCACACAATAAGAGTCTGCTAAAACTGAACTTTTCTGACCATCACGTGATCTCTTCGAATGCCAGAATATCTTATTTTTTTGACTTGTGACGTATTTATTATTTATTATTAAATTCGGGACAGCAGAATGATCTTTTGTTTTTCCACAGAATAAAAAAAAAATGGATGTAATGTTTTTCTGCTAGTAAGCTGGGAAATTGTTTCACTACCAGCACCGGCAATATTAGACTAAATTGTATTATGGGTTGAATTTTCCAGGTATGCAGAAGGGTTGCACACGATAGCCCATCCCACTTTGGAGAATGTTACGGTCCCAGATTCCGAGACCAGCTTTTCTGTGGTGCCATGCTGGAGCCATTTCTTCTGGGGGCAGTTTTTCCTGTGAAAACACAGGGAACCTGTTCCAGATTGGGAAAAAATCTGACAAAGGCAGTCAGGCTGCCCCCCCAGACCCCCTCTTAGGGAGGGCTATGACCACCCACCCCCCCCAAACAGTGCTGTGCGCATGACAGCTGTTTGACTTTTTACCCACTCAGCAAGAAAGTCCCCCGTAACTTATTTTTTATTTCAGTTTTATTATTGAAATCTTCTGATGGGGGGCAAACGTTGGGCTGACAGGTCTCCTCCATGATTGGTTTCTGGGTGTG